GTTGCCGTGGTGCTTCTCAACTTTCTATACTCCTATTCTCACTAAGCTGGTATATTTGTTTGAACGAGGCAAAGGGAGATAAGGAAGAGTAGCCTATAGTCATGCCCTTAATCTCGCTCTTGCATATTTTTCTTAGCTGCTCAATGCCTAGACTGATCCTTTACTTAATCCTCTAAAGTTTTACACTTAAGGCTTATTATCAGTAATATTATACGCGCGGGTGAAAACCTGAAATTTTCTTCCATTTTCTGCAGTGCGAAACGTTCTCCTTCGTTGTTATGCTGCCAAAGGAGCGTTTTAAATTGCCCAGTCTCGACAAGGTTATGCATGATGGGCATTACAAAAGTTTGATTGCCTCAAAGGACTTGAATCACGTCCGAGTGACTCTTCCGCGATTCGAGCTCACCTTCAAAACGGAACTGATTAAGGTATTCATGAGCATGGGTATCAAAGACCTCTTCGTTGATAATTTGGCAGATTTGTCCGGTGAGTTTGAGAAGTATTCTAACCTTCTTGCTAACACTAGTTTCAAGTATGTTTCAGTTTGATTAACAATCACATCTCCTAAGGCCCTATTGTATCAGAGGCTAATCCATTTAAATTCCTGATGACCTCGTAGCTCAAAAGAATTTCTGATAAAAATTCTTTATGTCGTAAGTAGAATGGACGAAATCGCCTCTTAAGTAATGTATGCAAAGGCGCTTGCATAAAGCAATTAGCTAATCACATTAGCCCTCAAATGCATTTCCTTACTCACTACACATACGATAGTACATATTCGCTTGGGTCGCGAGTCATTCCATTTAGTATTGGTTTGACTACGTTTCAACATCTTAATTCTGGCATAGCGTGTAACGTACCCAGTCCTGATTTCTCTGCATGATTGGCTCAGCACTGAAAACTCATTCTACAATTCCACTTCCTATGCCTACCTTGCCCATCTAAACTTGTCTTTATCTTCGTTCGTCCCTAGTCATCATTGTGTGCACCGTTATGCTAGAAGGCGCAGGACTGGATAGGTTTCACATTGTCTTCCGACCAACTTGCGCAAACGATGTTGATCAAAAGACTATACAGCTAAAGTAGACTTTGACTATTCCTAAGGGCATACTTCATTTATATATTTATTTTCGATCAAATAGTCATTATACCACAGTCTCACTTCTATCTTCTTCTTATCCCTTTGGAAATAGGTATCACAAAAGCGGAACAACTCTATGTGGATGAGGCGCTTCAAAAATGTGTAATTCGAGTTACCGAGGATGGCATTGAAGCGGCTGCTGTCACTGAAATCAGGTGTAAATCTCGCTGTGCCATTTTCGCTACGCTCGCATTTTGCGTGGATGAACCATTCCATTGTATGATCTACTCGAATAAACTCGAATCACCATTGTTTGTTGCTACTGTTCGACGTCCCACTCCTATTGCATCTCTAGACGCTTAATTTGCATTCGCTTCTGGTTTTTTTCTTCCCTCAGTCATTTCCTACATATTTTACCTTTCTTGCCAACTTTTACTCCTGACCAGACTAATTTTTCCAAAAATGCTTTTTCATATTTTCATCTCATCCGAGCATGATCTTGTTTGTCCTCAGAATAAATGCCTATATTTATCCTTATTTATGTGAAACCTAAGAAGTAATGTCTCATTTAAACACCTTTTATGCGGCACTTTTGACTACTTGAGGCAAACTAGCCTGTCTCTACTTGACTCTATTTCCGTGTCCTCGTCTTCCTTGACGAGAGTTCGCAAGAGACTTATCCATAGCTTTTTTTAATTCAGTTATTCTATTACCTACAGAAGCATCTCTAACTATCACCGAAGTTATGAGTTCGGTTAGGATTACTGTAGGGGCTCTCTAAAATACTGTTCGTCAAAAAGCACCAGAGCCTTCAACTATGTTACATATGTTCTGTCCATACAAAACTGGCGCTTTCTCAGGCAAGGCCACGAAATCTCGAATTGCCTTAAGTTACAAAAAGTGAATAGCCTTCTATTAGTTAGTCATGCTTACTCAGACTGATCAACACTTCAAATAATCTCCGCAATCTTTATGGGATAGTGGAGCTTATGGCTGATTTTGCTGGAATGACAATTTATCTCCATTCGATAGATTGAAGTGGTTCGAGTTTGCTTTTGACTTTATTATCCTATGCATATCAAAAGTTTATCTTTATATCATTTTCGTATATAAGCAAAGTTTTGAGACTAATAGTAGATCAGTTATATGAGATGTATTCACCCTATTTTATTTATAGTGATGAAGGAGTGGTAGTCGAATTTTCCCA